CTCCTGCTCCTGCTCCTGCTCCTGCTCCGGCCATCGCCGCGGTCCCAAACTCCCGGGGCTCCCGCTGCCCCCGCTGCCCGTGTTGCCCCCGGGTCTCCCGTCCCCTTCGCCAGTCGATCCATCCCCCCGCTCCGGGGGCGGTTTGAGGGAAATGCCTTTCCCTTGCAGGCTTCTCACCTGCACACCAAGCCCCTTCCCCTCCGAGCAGCAGCGGCATCCTCGCATCAGCGCTAGCCATCCAGAGAGCCCTGCCACCCCCGAGGTGACCCGGGCAGGTGGACAGGGCTGCGAGGTCCCGCTGGGTGGGCAAAGGGTGGTGGGACCCCGCTGCACGGGCAGGAGTGCGGGGTCCTCGCTGGGTGGGCAGGCTCATGCTGCCGTCTGGTGTTTTGGGGAGCAAGAGGCAGTTTGAATGAACTCTGCGCACTTCACGCTCGTGAATGAAGTGCTTGTGCAGAGTGCAGTGTCCGTCTGCCTTATGTAAGTGTCTGCTGTGTTAATGAATAATGGAATAAAAACCCCACAGCATCAGGAAACGTTTGGTTCTAGCATCTATCTCCTCTCTTCCTTTCTCCCGGTACAGATCCTATTTTGAGGAACATAGAGGAGTACAGCCTTGTCATCCCCACCAGCACCGATTCAGAGGGCAGGTTCCTATCCCACTTGGTGTCTGGACCGCCAAAAGCACGCTTCAGAAGAGCTGCAGAGGGCTTGCAACACGAAGCGGCGAATGAGCAAATATTTTACAATGTCACTGTTTTTGGAAGAGAGTTTCACTTCAGGTTGCGGCCAAACTCCAGGCTCGTCGCCCCTGGAGCAACAGTTGAATGGCAGGAGGACTCTGATGAGACTCACGTTGAACCTCTCTATGGGAATTGCCTCTATGTTGGGGATATCACTGATTTGCCAAATGCTTCGGTTGCTATCAGCAATTGTGATGGGCTGGTAAGTTACTTTGTTATTGTAACTAAGATAATTACATTAATTTCCTACCGTATTTAAATATAAAATGTGTGGACTGTCATAAACTCACACCTCATATGGTAACTGTGAATGCAAATTAACTAATGTTCCCTTGTGTGGGAATAGCTGCGCTGCACCAGGCGCTTTTTTGCATACAGTGGCACTAGAAGTTTGGAGCGCATGCTCTGTGTTAGCTACTCTGTAACAGAGCAGTTCAAGCCAAGATTAATGTTGATTTGTGGTAAAGTTACTGGAGGTATCTGACACTTCAGAAACAGAGGGCTAAATGTTGTGTTCTGGGAATCCTTTTCCTCATTTCGCTTCCAGGCTGAGAAGGGAAATTTTAGAAGAGTTAATCCTGAATAATAGGCTGGACTGCTCTGTAAACAAATTTGATAGGAAGGATATGTTTTTGCCTTGAAAATTCAATTTGTTCAGAGTCTGTTTTCATGGATCTTTCACTCGGTGAGTTTTATTGCTTAATCAAATGATTGATGGAAAGCAGCAGAAGAGTTTGAGTTTTACGAACGAAACAGCTCCCTGTGATGCGTTTTGCATGGCTGTGTGTTTTAAAGCTTGCTGCAGCTTTCCGTTCTGGAGCACGTGTTCAGTAGTCAAATTAAAACTGTTTGTCCCAGATGTCCTAAACAGTCATACCGTCATTTGAACAGTAATTACTACATAGCAATTTGTGTATTGAGGAAAGGGCAATATTTTTGATAATGAACAGCAAATCTAGCCAAAATTTTCTTGCTATGCCTTTAAGAGTTCATAATTTTTAGATTACTTAATTTTAATGCATTCTGTTCTCTGCATAAAAACCCCAGTATGAGTCAGTTGTATTCCTATTTATTTAGTCACAGAAAGTTGCTCACTTGCTGTGCCAAGCTACCATGCATGTATGGAGATAACATGTTGGCTGTCTGAGAATGGAAGGGAATCAAATACTTTTCTCTTTACTATTTCCTTTCCTGTGGTTTTTCCTAGCTGTGTGCATTCCTGTTTTTAGAAGTAGGTTTTAATGTTGTCATTATTTGACGTGGACAGCTGTCCAAGGGCAAGAGGAATACTGGTACTGTGCAAGAAGAGCAATTCAGGAAGCGGAAAATAAGCCCGCAGGCCTGCCTCTCGCGGAGGGAAGCGGGAGTGCTTTGGTCTCCCTACAGCTAGCACTGATCATTTCGCAGAAGGCAAAATTCCTTTGCTCTGGGCAGTGCGGAGCTGGGGTGGAGCCAGCGCTCTTCCTCCTTGTTCATTTGTGCTGCAGGGTGGAGGAAAAGCCGGTGACGGCTGCTGTGCCTGCCTTGTGCTGGCTCTTCTCATCAGCGCAGGTGTTGACTCCAAGGGCAACGGGGAAGGTTGTTCCTTCTTCCACCCAGTGTTACCCAGAGCATGGACTCTTTATGTTTGGAGAAGAGAATTATGATAAAATATCACAACAGTTAAGCCAAAGTATGGATGAAAGCTCTGAAGGTTCAAGGACTTGTGTTGCATGAGTAAATGACAAAATATTTATAAAATGCTATTCTTTTCACAGTTGTAAGTAACTTCATAAATGCAAAGGAATAAAGCCAGGCCTCCATTCAATGGCACTCATAAATGACTCACATTGAGAAAGCTACCTAAGGAACGTTGCCCGGTTTTCTGATCTTGTCAGTTAGGATGACTGAGACAAAATGTCATTAACTGAGCCTTAATGACTGATTGCTACAGCATCACACTGAAGAGCAGCACCAAAGTGCTGGCATTGTGTTCAGTGGTTGCCTTGCTTAAACCTTTGCTGGGGTTGATATGTTGGTAGCTCAGCGTTAGCCATCCTGTGCAGTCAGCTGCTGTTTCACGTCTTTAGTAATTTAAACCACTCTTTTCCTGAACATCTGCTGAATTTCAGTCATGTAAATGGTCCTAAGTGACAAAGTCATTGCAAACAAAAAAATAATGATAATAACCAGGTGAGCCTCAGCCAGAAGCAGAAAGCAAATGGAGTTACAGCCACTTGAATTTCCAGATAGCTCAATGGAAAGGCTTGTATTAATTTCTTAGAATGATAAAATATCACAGTATTTTATTTTAGGACAGGCGAATCTGAATTTTGGTTTTGAAGCAGCACCTGCAGCTTATGTGCCTACAAGAATGCCTCCAGCGTTCTTGTTTTTGTTGTCTGTTAGTAGAAGGAGAAGCAGGAGAAGATTTGGTCTGCTGCATGAGCATAGTACTGACAGCTACCATATTCTAATCTGGATGTGATGATGGTTTTCTGATGGCACTGCAAATTCTCTGCCTCTACTAATACATTTAGAAATGTCTCACTATTTCAATGAGTATCTACATTGTAAATGCTACATGGCAGAGAGACCATGTCTATTTTTGCCCAAGTCATTGAAGCCTTACTGCAGGAAGCATTACCTCAATATCTTTTAGCATCTGGCCGTAATGATTTCCCCGAGATTGTGCAGTAAATCTGTTGTGGAACAACAAATTGAACTCCGGTCCCTTGGGTGCTGTGTTCCATCTCTGCCCATTCTCTCCTTCTAGGTTTCTTTCCTTCTTTTAGGGGGAGGGTTAACATCAGATATGAATACAGTTATACAAAATCCCAAGAAAAGATACCAGCAGTTCCCCAACTTCCACTAGTCCATGGACAGCAGTAATGAGCAATTAATATGCTGAAGTTAACACTGCACTTTACTGTCTCTCAGTTTACATTTTTATTTCTTGTGTCTGAAAGGAGTATTGAAGGGTTTTTAAAGCAACATATTGCTAGAAAGACTTTCTTAGAGACCACTGTGCTGTATACTGTTCTCAGGTTTATTGATATTTCAGATGTGAATGAAGACACAAAGGCTATCACATCCTTAACGCATATCTGTTTTTTATTCCACACCTCCTTTACTTCAATGGAGAAATGTGGTTGCCTCATACATTTTCTTTCAGCTGCCTAATGGTATGCGTGCCATGGCCAAAGTTCTTACTCTGTTCTTAACATATTTCAAGTATTTCCATCTCCTTTTCTAGGTTACTCTGGAGGAAAGGGACTGTGGAACGCTCTGACAACTGTTAGCATTTGTTATAAACTTGCTTCATTTAATGCCTAGTATTTTCGAAGTGCTTGCTTTTGAAGGTGGTTTGACATCTGCCTATGCTTCCAGCTATTGCATGTGGACATTAAGGTTGAAATAATGTATTAAGGTTGAAATAATATATTTGAATTGAAGTTTCATAGTTTGGTCTTTACGTTGCAAACTTTGGTTGACTGAATCTAGTCTCAGTCAGTGAATGCATCTGCCACCTTGCCAACTTCTGATGTTATTTCCTCTGAACATCCCCTTTGGTTTGCACATTACTGCCAAATGTGTCTTATTTTCCAATTATTGTCTGAGAAGAGTCTGTCTGGTGTTGCTGGTATGGCCAAAATGAAAAGTTGTTGAAACAGATTTATATGAAAATAGTAGATCTGTGAACAGATTTTTGAACTTTACTATAAATGATGAAGGTTTTTAATCTGCAATTATTCTGTGAAATTAAAAAGTACATGCATATATATATATAGGATACATATATTCAGTTATCTTTGGTCCTAACTGAAGTGTTATGCAGTTAGTTTGGGGGCTCCCAGTTTTCTGTGGTAGAAATCAATGACAAAACTAGTTTTATTGATCTAAAAGTCAAGTCAGAGGCAGATGAAGAGAATTTCTGAAGTATGCAATCTGGGTGTGTTTTCATAGCTGAAATGAGTCTTTAGAGATCATGGGAAAGTTAAAGCTAATCAATAGCTTTTCTTAACAGCTCTCTGAACTATAGATGTGATTTTTACCATGTAAAGAAAGTTTTTGGTAGCTTTCCCACTTAAAATAAAAACTCTGTTTGGACAGCTTGATATCATCTTGCCTGGTCTGCTAGCGTTCAAACTAATTTTCCAGGCAGAACCAACATGGTCAGCTGTCTGTGGCCCGTAGACTATTGTGGAAGATACTGCACTCCAACTATATTCTTGGTCTGTGGCCAGATCCTTACCTTGGGACACTGCTGGAGGATGAGGGAGCTAGCTAGTCCTGTCCAAGGGTTAGCTGGGAAGGAGAAATGCTTGGAAGCTGAAGAAATGGCATAAGACAGTAATTAGGATTATGGCAGTCCTTCCAGATTACTTCCTGAAAAGGGGCAAGTTTGTCAGCACCTGTGAAACAGACTGCTTTCTGGGGTTGTGTCCTCTTACGTTTGTCAGGGCCATCTCTGTGAGGGATTAATTCCTGCTTATGACATCTCAGGCCTCAAGGTGTTTTGCCATTACATATATCTACATGTTGCTGCTCAGCTTTCTTTTCGAAAAGTTTCATGAGGAGCAATAGCTGAGCAGGGCAGAATTTATCTTTAGTAGGGTCAGAATTAGTGCTGAGGTTTTATTCATGCCTGTGCTCCGTCACAGCAGCCTGTCCTAAGTGAACTCCCTTTCTTCACCCCAGCGGATAAGCCTGCCGTTGTAGAAGAACTCTTTATGTATCTGGATTTCTTATTTTGATAAATACTTGCACAATGCTTGAGGCAGATGTACCAAAAATACCTTCTTCAGGTTAAGAAGATGGTAATATTTGATTGTGGAACTTCGGAGCCAAGCTGTCGCCCAGCCTCTTCATAGCGTTCCTAGTCTACGGGGGAGAGTTTGTGCTTAAACACAAGCAGATACGTAGAGAGAAACACAATATGAACAACACATCTGGTATGGATAATAAACACATGATTAGATTAGACATCCGAAGCCTCAGTGCAGAATCAAACTACATGTCAGGATCCTAGAGGCTGAGGACAACAGCTTCAGGTTGAAAAAATCAATATGACCTAGCCCCCACTAAAGCAAATAGAGGAAAATCAGCTTCAGTAACACAATATGATGTCTTGAGCTCTGCTTTATTAGTATAATCCTCTTCTTCTGTTTTTAATTAAAATATCAGCTGTCCAAAGAATTCACTACACTGTCATTAAAGTGG